TTACAATTGAAAATAAAATGAAGAAAGTAATCTCTTCAGGCTGAGGCGCGGATATCTCGCTCTCTTTAAGGAGATTCAAGCCCACTGCAGCAAATGTTTTCACCGGTCCAGAAGTAGTCCTCTTTGACTTGTCCCCTCCATGATACAACAGCTTTCACAAAGAATAACTCAACAACTCTGGACAAGAGTTGAGTCCAAAGCTCCACAAAAAAGAACACCTCCCTTCAACTAATAAGAACTCTCTTTTAGACTAACTCTTTCACTCTTTGTTTTCTCTTGTGTTTTGTGTGTACCAAACCAAATGAAGACCACCACTATTTATACTACAAGAAGTCTTCCTAGCAATAAATAGGAAGATAATGGAGGTAGTAAATAGTGAAGATAATGGCCTTAGGAGTTTCATAGGTTACAATAGGAGTTACATAGGTTACAATAGGATTTACATAGGTTACATATGTTACAATAGGAGTTACATATGTTACATAGGTTACAAAGAGTAATGAAGGTATTAAGAATGAAATAAAGTGATGGACAACCAATGCTAATGGATGATGTAGAAGTCATCCATTCCAATGTTCATTCTTATAACTCCAAAATAAAGCAATTTAATATTTTAAATATTAATATTAAAATTCTAATAACCTAACAAATTGAACTTTTTGACCCTAAAAATAAATCAACAAATAAAAAGTTGTACTTAATTATACTACCTCATTGCTAATTATTGAATTCTCAAATTAAATATTTTGCTTACTTTTCTGGTTAGGACAAAGTATAGTTAAGTTACGATAAGATTAACAATTCAACTTAGGATATAAAATTATACTTGGATAAATCGCACTCGTGGTTCTCAAATATTGATAAACAATTCTTACTATTGTAGAACGACGACTTTCGACTTTTAATTGATATAAATTTCTCTTTTTTGTGTAATTAAATTGAATGGGTGAATCAAAATTTCAATAAGAGATTTAAATTTTAAAACATAAAATACACAAACTAATTGAAGGGGCTGGGGTTCGCCATTTACGATATATGATTAAGCGTATATAATCTTCAACTAATTCTAATATACACTTTTGATCTTTATATGCTTGTGAACTTTTAAGAATTTTATAAACGAAAAAGGGTCAAAAATACCCTTGAACTATCAGAAATAGCTTAAATATACCCTTAAAGTATATTTTGGCTCAAATATACCCTTACCCTCAAACTATAGGGTCAAAAATACCCTTCTCATTAATAGAATCGGTTAAACGCCACTTAGATGCCATGTGGATGTCACATGGCATGCCACATAAGCCAATAGAGTTCCACTCATGCCACGTAGACTAATAAACTTAGTCCTAATTTCCCCTAATTTTCTTTAGAATTTAGAAACGATTTCACCAAAGAACATAGAACCCCTTTTCCTCATGTCTCCATTTCCTTAGAACGATTTCACAAAATACATAAGTTCTAAGGGAAAGGGATTCTATGTTTTTTCAGTGAAATCGTTTCTAGATTCTAAGGGAAATATGAAAATTTTGGGAAAATTAGGGGTAAGTTTATTTTCTACGTGGCATGAGTGGAACTCTATTGGCTTATGTGGCATGCGTGTGGATGTCACATGGCATGTCACATAAGCCAATAGAGTTTCACTCATGCCACGTAGACTAATAAACTTAGTCCTAATTTTCCCCAATTTTCTCCATTTTCTTTAGAATTTAGAAACGATTTCACCAAAGAACATAGAACCCCTTTTCCTCATGTCTCCATTTCCTTAGAATGATTTCACAAAATACATATAAGTTCTAAGGGAAAGGGGTTCTATGTTTTTTCAGTGAAATCGTTTCTAAATTCTAAGGAAAATAGGAAAAATTAGGGAAAATTAGGGATAAGTTTATTTTCTACGTGGCATGAGTGGAACTCTATTGGCTTATGTGGCATGCCATGTGGTATCCACATGGCATTCGAGTGACGTTTAACAGATCCTGTTAATGAGAAGGGTATTTTTGACCCTATAGTTTAAAGGGAAGGGTATATTTGAGTCGAAATATAGCCAAGGGTATATATGAGTTATTTCAAAAAGTTCAAAAGTATTTTTAACCCTTTTCCATTTTATAAATTATTGACAGTTTAACTATTCAGTTACCAATATATTATATTTAATTTGTAATAATACTTTATACTTTGAGGACAATAAGCTCTAAAGAAATAATCTAAATATAAAATATTTTTCATATATTAAGTAATAAAATCACACATATAGTTAATTAAAAATTAAATATATTTAGACAAATATCATAAGGTCCAAAATCAGAAGTCATCAATAATATATTCCATTATAAATTTATTATAGTAACCATTAATTGTTGATTCATCTGATATTTCTAAAAGAAAATATTTTATTTCTGATTTACTAAATAATCAGACCTATAGAAATAAAATTCATATGATAAAATCGAGCTAATTGAATATAACATGTAATGAATGGCATACCATGTGCCTCATCTTGTAATCTTCAGACACAACCTCAAAAGTCCCAACATAACAATGGTCCTTCCTTAGTTAAAATGTGTAGACAGGAGAAAGTTGTCCTGTCGAGTGCATAATAGACTAATTCATAAATATCGACGAACAACTATAATGGAGTGATAAAATATATTTTTATATTTAACTAAATGTCTTAAATTTTAACTCTGAATATATAGTTAATCTTGTCATGAAATGTTTTATCCTTAATATATATAAAATTTTCAATATAAAATTCATATTTAATCATATCCTATTATAAATATCAAATTTTGAATAAAAAAAACTTTAATAACTAAACAACACTTTGGACACAAAAGTGGTTCAACAATAAAGATTCATTACAACACAATTGGTGTTGTGATATGTAAAGGAACAATTAAGGAAAAAAGAGTGCACCACTTAACTACTTTTTCGAGTTTTTGTTTAAAACATATCAACCACTAGCAATGCATTTAAAATAGGAAAAAGATTTCCACAATTTTATCATTTCGAACTATTATATTTCTCGTTATAAAAGTAATTCATATTATATATTCTCATGGTTAAACAAATGACTGATTTATTCATATATATACATTCACACTCATTTCTTCATAGATAATCTTATCTATTATTAGTAGTGTTGTTGCTTTCGCTTTCTAGGAATTTAGTGAAAACGTAGAGCAACATTACATATATTACTCCCTCTCAGAGATTACAACAATTCCTTTGACTATAAAAATGAAGATACATCTACAAAAAAAACTATGGCGATGCGATAAATCAATCAACAATGCTACTATATGATCATGAAACTTTATAAATGATCAATTTAGTTTCACTAAAGGAATTATCACGCAAATCAGCATCGAAATGTGTATTGTTTTATTTTAAAAATACTATTGGTTTAAAAAATGGTGAAAAAAATGACTAGGTTTCGAAAAATCAATTAATCTTATTACTTAAGAAAAATCGACTTTTCAAATTACAGAGTCGCCACTTTATTTTTGATAAAATCAAGAAAAATTTAAAATTTTTAAAAGATTCAAAACAAATAAAATCAATTGAAAAAAAATGTTTGAAGTTCAATGTACATCCCCGAGAAGGTGTTAGGCCCACGGGACGCCCGCTAACTCGCGGTTGACCGGCGATTTGACTAAATGACTTTTAAAATAAAATTTTTAACTAAGTAAAGAGAAAATTCGTTTTAATATTTTTTATTTCATTTTTTACTTCTATAGGGAAATATTTGGAGGGACTAATTTAAGGAAAACTAAATGGTGATAAAAGTAAATAAAACAAAATAGTAAAATTTAAAATAATGAAAAATGGCTGCCCTTTAGGAGATTATTAAAATTCTACCAAAATATTAATTAATTCAAACAAATAAATAAAGAGAGAATAATATTTGAACTTGGGCTTGATTGCCCAAATTCCTTCATTTGGGCTTTGGCGTCCCTATTTCCGTATTTCATTTGAAATTGGCGTCCCTGTACGTTAACCTGCAATTCACATTTTTTACACATATTTAAGGTATAATGTCTCTGTATATCAGTGTATACAGGTTGTATATCAGCCTGTTTTTCAACTTTGGAAAGTTGAAAGTTCCCTTTTAGCAGCATATCTTCACTACTACAAACCAAGATTTTTAATTTGGATCCACCTGTGCATTTTCAACCTGTACATCAGTGTATACACTGTGTATATAGCTGGTATACAACTTTCTGCAACACCTGCAATGTAATTTCCAGCAACTTTCCAGGTTGTGATGAACCTGTAATCAATTTCCAGCAGTGCATTTCAACCTACTCTTCGACTTGTACATCAATTTACCAATTTCGGAGAGGTTGGAGGAATGAGAGTAGAGGTTTGAGCCTTTACGGCTCCACAAGAGATTGCAACGGAAAGAAATCCATTATGGATTTGGAGGGTTTCATACAACAAAGCAACAAAAGGAGAAAATTAAAAGTTACTTCATCCATGGATGAGAGTAAAGCAAGATAACGATTAGTATAAGTCTATGCAGGGCAGCCAAAACAAATGGAAGTAAATAAAGCCAACAATACATGGGTTTAATTTACTATTATTCTTGCTATACAGAACATCATAAGAAAAACCATTAAGCATAAACCAATTTATACTTAGTTCTGAAATGGGGTGATAAAGGACTTACTCCAGCTACCACAGATAAAAAAATCAATACATCAACTTATGAGTTGTTGTCAATGAAGCAGCCTTATCACATAATCTTAAACACAAGATTTCAAGAAGAATTATGGTTGACGAATAGATCAAGGAATACTTCGATTTTTGACTACTCGAAATAATGTAAATATAAACGAAGGCGGTGTGTTTCAACAAAACAACACAGAAAACCACAAGAACTCATAATGAATATTTAGCTAGACAGATTCAATATATTTGACACTCAAATAATGATAGAAGATTATCAAAGTTAACAATCTATAACCGATATAAGCACAAGTTGAGATGCATCCTATTCTACGCATTCAGAACCTCAAACGAGTCAACTAGTGATTATAAACAACTATCAGAAACCATATTCAATCATTTTTGTAGAAAATTATACAAAGTGTGAGATAGAAAACAAACGATATCCAAAGTAAGGCTGGGACAAGCGAGCCGGCTACGAGGACGATTCCACCAAAATAAGGCTACAAAAACAAAGAAAAGAGCGCCTCCCAAAAAAATCGAAACTTAAATGTATCCTATATCATTTGTTTGCTTTGATTCCATTTTCTACCTCAAAACCTTTGTATCTTTTAAGTGGTGTTGTAGCTAATTTCTGAATATCGACTAAAGTTTCTAACCTCTCTCTCAGTGAAGAACCCCCACCCCCAAAGAATGAAAAAGAGGGTATTTATAGGAGATTTCTCAGATTTTTTTTTAAAAAAGAGAACCAAATGGATTTGAATTCAAAATTCAAAAAATCCTTAGAGGATGAGGCTGTCAGCTAATGAGTACTAATTCTCAATGGATAGAGAAGGGGAACCACTCGATTTGAGCGAAGGACGATCTTGCAAGGAGATGCCTCCACCTAGAAGATTCGCATACGGATGATAAGGTGAGGAGAGAGGACAACACGACTGGACTCGGGTTGCTGGATTTTCTGAGATTTTTTGGTTTCGAATTGGATCGATTTGCTGGAGTTGTTCTGGTTTTCGTGAAGAAAAAGGGTAGCAGGGGTTGGGTGATGTTGCTGTTTTGTTGGCATGGGTTTTGAATTGGGAGTGGGCTGCTGATGATGAGCCTGAATTATTTAATAGGAGATTGGGCTGAAGGGTTGAGCAATTAGGTAGGCTGGAATGGGAATGGGCTGAGAATTAAAGGTTGGGCCTGGGAATTAAAGTGGGCTGGAAAGAGAATAGAAGGGAGTGGGCTGGAAGGGAATAAAAGAACATTTGTGTAAATGGCCCAAAAATTGTTTGTCCAAATGGGTTTAAGGATTTCACTAATAACTAAAAAATCAGAATCAATATAAATTAATTAATGAACTTCTTAATCTTAACAAAATAAAATAATTATTTTAATTGTAAAATAATTACATAAAGTTATTTTTAAACCACACTAGTTATCTAAATATTTTACTAAAACTAAATTTTTTTTGAGATGATTTTTGAATAATCATAAAATATATTGATTATATATATAATCATGTAAAATATATATTATCTAACTTATAAAAATGACAAAACTATATATAAAAAATAAAATAAACTTAAAAAATATTTTGAATTTTATAAAACTAATTACTCTAAATTGCTTGGGGAATTTAAGAGGCTCATGAATTAATTTCTATCGGAGAGGGTCAAAATTGGGTGTCAACAGCTGTCCCTCATTTTACTTGGATTGATGCAAGCAATTCGAGGAAAATGAAATTGACCAAACCAATTTTGACCAACCCCATTCATCTTTAAGGGCAGGATTTGGCAAAGGGTTTAGGAATTATGGCCGAACCCTTGAAACGGGTTTCCTACATATCTCAGGCTGTATGAGAATTAAGGCCACTTGTAGTTCAATAAGCTTGATTTAACGCACGACTTTGAAAGAATTCAAAAGCCACCTCGATACCGAATTATGAAGGTATCGAAATCTCATCTTGCATTTCTTTGGTTTGGAAGAATGCTCGAGAATAAAATTGGAGAGCAAATGTTGGAATACAGCCGAGTCTTCAACATTGAATCCGCCTACATATCCTTAAACCTTAAGGAATCAGGCTGTGTGTAGTTCGACTCGATAGATTGAAAAGAAAATCTATTATGCTAGATAACCTTTGGTTTTGGACAAGTTACAAATTAAACGAGTATGAAAAGGAGGCTTGTAACCTCTTAGCCATGAATGTGGAGCTCTTCACATCCATAGATAAGAACTTACACGGACATAATTTCCAAAGCTCTTGGCGCATTGTCACTCAGATTCAAAAGTTGTTTTCGGTAAATCGAAACTTTCGGATGCGAGACTGAAGCTGACAGACCTAAAGAAGTATCCACATGCCTTAAGATAGGGGTGTGGTTTGATTGTGGTGGAAGTCGCTCCTCTGCTCGTGTCCTAAGAGTTTGACATTCCTCTTTGGACTGTGTCCCAGTTCGCTGCTAAGAACAAGTTCCACGTTGTGATACATCCTTTTTTATGTCATCCGCACCTATGGTTTTTGAGAGAATTCATCCTTTTGGATTCTCTCTACAAATATTGAGATAAAAATTCGTCAGTTTAAAAATGCAATTAGGATGTGAGACAGTGTCTTTTTACCATGTCGACACCTCATTGTTCTCCTCAATATTCGACGTCGATTCGATCGGTTTGACGTACAACAAATAAAGATTATGCCTGGTGTTTGCAATGTAATCTTCAATGTACTCTTTACTCGATATCGAAATAAATAAATAAATGCTGATGCGATGTCGATATTTCTTTTGACGTCGTCTTCGGGACTTTTCTCGATGCAGCTGAGGTCAATGGATAAATATTCCTCTTAGGATACACGATTTCCATTTCTTTATCCGTGTATGCTTTCTTGTGGGGCATGAATATCTTTTCGCGATAAATTTCTGCGAGGTATGAAATCTTCTCACAATGCATAACTTTCGGTGAGACATGAAATCTTCTCGCGATGCACAAATTTCAACGAGGCATGAATTCTTCTCGTGATGCATAAATTTCAGCGAGGTATGAACTCTTCTCTCGATGTCTAAGTTTCAGCAAGGTATGAAATCTTCTCGCGATGTAAAATTCTGACGAGGCATGAAATCTTCTCGTCGTGCATAATTATTGACTCGCGATGCATGATTTTCACGATGCATGATTTTCAACGAGGCATGAATTCTTCTCGTGATGCATAAATTCCAGTGAGGTATGAAATCTTCTCGCGATGTATAAATTCTGACGAGGCATGAAATCTTCTCGTCGTACATAATTATTGACTCGCGATGCATGATTTCCGCGATGCATGATTTTCAACGAGGTATGAATTCTTCTCATGATGCATAAATTCCAGCGAGGTATGAAGTCTTCTCGCGGTGTACAAATTTGACGAGGCATGAAATCTTCTCGTGATGCATAAATTCCAGTGAGGTATGAAGTCTTCTCGCGATGTATAAATTTGACGAGGCATGAAATCTTCTCGTGATGTACAAATTCCAGTGAGGTATGAAGTCTTATCGCGATGTATAAATTTGACGAGATATGAAATCTTCTCGTGGCGTGTAATTATTGACTCGCGATGCATGATTTTTGACGATATATAAAATCTTCTCGTGACGCATAATTATTGACTCGCGATGCATGATTTTCTGCGATGCATTATTTTTCCGCGATGCATGATTTTCTGCGATGCATGATTTCCCTCGATGCATGATTTTTAACTCGCAATGCATGAATATTCATATCGTCTCTGTTGATGATAACGGCAAGACAACCTCCAGATAATATATTGCCTTGATCGATTATAAAACAACTACCCCCCGGGGGTAATGCATTGTCTTGATTGACAATAACTATTTTGTTTGATAATGTAATGCAAACAACGTCCTTTACGAAAATCATAAACTCTTCCTGGAGATTCCTATTTGATTCACCTTTGAATCTGGCTAGACGCTCTTTGTAAATTTCATGTTGTAGGAACTGGATTGAAATAAACAATTCATATTCCCAAGTCTTTGACATAAGTGATATAAATGCCTCTTGCTTCTAGGAAAACCCTTGATTTTGGGATAGTTTTCTCCTCTTTGGAGTTCTCTGTAACGAGCTAGCTAGTTCAATAATTATCCAACTGTAACGAGGTGGATGCTCGATAATAGTCCAACTGTAACAAGGTGGATAGCTCGATAATATTCCAACTATAACGAGGTGGATATCTCGATAATAATCCAACTGTAACGAGGTGGATAGCTCGATGATAGTCCAACTATAAGGAGATGGATGGCTCGATAATAGTCCAGCTGTAACGAGGTGGATGCTCGATAATATTCCAACTGTAACGAGGTGGATGGCTTGATAATATTCCAACTGTAACGAGGTGGACGGCTCGATAATATTCCAACTGTAACGAGGTGGAC